ATATATATATATATATATATATATATATATATATATATATATATATATATGTATGCAAAAATGATCATTTATTTTGTTTATCCGCACTGCTTAGGATGCAAATGAAAGAACCAAGACCAGGAAATGTCAATCATCAAAGGACAATCTTCACGTGTGCGATGAGTGTAATAAAGCCTTCTCCAAGTATAGTTCCCTCTCAAGGCATAAATATGAACATACGGGTAAGTTCTCGAGAGGATTTTTTCCCGTCTTTATTCCTTATGCATTAACCATGACAAAGCAAGAACATTTGCTCAACTTTTGAACACCCAAAATGGTAGGATAGTCATGTGAGGGACAAACCGTGGACTGAAAATTAAAATATGCTCATAGTTTTATATTTATTCATATTAAATGGCAGGCTTTATGGTAGCTATCATTATCCCTTTAGTTGACTTCGGACTTCACAGAGGGAAGGAACATATAAAGTCACAAAAAGTGGGGGGGGAGGGGAACAGAAGAGTGATTCAAAGATTTAAAAGAGGCAGACACAAAAGTAGAAAGAATAAGGTAAGGTGAGTGGAATATGAACTACAGTTGGGTCGTGGTAGTTTTAAGTCAATTGCCGATTTATAGACTTCTTTGCCTTATGACCATTACTTTGCCCAGGGTGCACCACTTGAAGTGAGCTAAGACACCGAGAATCTTGGTGTATTTGAATTCTCGAATTACTGAGTACTCCACTTTCTTCTGAGGCTTAGAAGTCGGTGTACAATATTCAAATACACAATTCCCCGAATTGCATGGTTTCAAGTCCACGGTATGCAAAGATCAAGTTTTATTCGAACGTTAGGTCACGTCACTTTAAGTTAACTTCATCTAGTCACAGCCTTGAGCTGGCATATACTCGGGTTTTTTCGGAAAGTTGAGCTAATTCGTATGGGCGGTTATTTGGGGGGGGGGGTGAGAAGTCAAGATGTAGTCTTACGAATTTTCCCTATTTGAGACTGAAACTTGATTCATCCCATACAGGATGTTCTTCCAATCTGAAATATTTTACCTCCATGGGCGCTTATTCGGGTGGGCGGTTTTTTGGTTTCAAAAATAGTTTCGCCTGGCACAACTGCGATAAACTTTTTACTCGAGGCAGAGTCCTCTGGGTTTCCTTCTTGATGCACTGTTACAGTAATGTCTGCCTTGGTTTATATATCAAAGCAGAAAAAACGTCCTTTTTAGTGAGTAGTAAATCGTAAACCTTTTCAAGTATGTTAAGTGCGGATTGAAGGAAGGCAATATGAACTGCTCAATGACATTTCTTGTTCAACAGAGTAGAGCAACGCGGTCAGTTACTCACACCAATCGATATTGTTCCCAATTCTTGACAGATGTGTCCGTTGATGGTTTTGATGTTTATACAATGCATGCAGTTACTATTTTTCATTTAAAATAGACAATTTTCATCTCTTTTTAAATATATCTTGCAGGTGTAAGACCGTACGTCTGTCAAGTCTGCGAAAAGGCCTTCAAACACAGGCATCACCTAACCGAGCATATTCGACTTCACACCGGTGAAAAGCCCTTTAAATGTCAAAATTGTGGAAAAACATTTTCCCATTCAGGATCCTACTCACAGCACATGACTTTCAAGCATCGTTGCAGTAGGGACACCACTAGACGTGATTCCAATGAAAACGATTCCAGTAACCCAAATAACTCTCAACAAGAGTGATTTATTCCAAAGTCTTTCCAGTCATATGATAAAAAAAATTAGCGCGTAGTTGAATATTTCCAATTTTTGTTTATTCAAAAACATTTAATAGATGGTGAATCCAATTGACCTTTTTTCTTAAATAGAATATATTTTAAGAAAGTCGGGATTGGACATGCAAATTAAAAGATATTCAATATCAACACAATTTGAATGAATTCGAAAACGGAGCTGTTAAAGTAGACTACAGCCTAATTAGTAAAATTTAAAATGATTAAACATGGTAACAATGCCTCGAGGAAGTATTAGATATCGTGCGTTTGCAAAGGGTGATAGATTAGTTACTGGAAATCTGAAAAAAATCTATAGGCAACCTCGAATAAGCCTCTTAACCAAGTGATTGCATTAAATTTATGTGGATTTGTTGTTATGAAAAACTTACGGGAAGGAAATATTTTCGGGAGTTGAAATCACCGTTCAACTCCAGCTCTATGGCCTTGTTAGCGTACTAAATAGTGATAGGACGAGTATTGATCTATGATCGTGATAGACAGGTGTGCTACCTATACAATCGAGTTGAGTTCAATCCCCACCCCCCACCTTCCAATCCCTCAGTTCAAGTAATAGGCGCGGTTAGAGGAAAGATGCAAATGCAGTTAAAGAAAACAATGGAAAACATCTACCCTAACACAATAGTAGTTGAAGCCAGATAGTGGCATGGAGGGTGAATTAAAGTAAGGAGGAGGAGGAGGAGGAGGAGTTGATAGACCTTAGACTCATCATTTCCTGATAAGTGATCAATAAAAGTCAACATCTAAGCATTTGAATGCTTCTGAATTAAGGGTTACTTTCGTGATTTTGTATTCGTAGAACTTGTCCCAAATGAAAGATTTGTACCGGATTGTTACACGAATAAGCCTTGACTTTTCTACAGTGAACCCTATGACAAAATATATTCCAATGTGGATGGGCTCCCGAAATGAGTTAGGCTATCTCAATGATGTTGAAGATGTTGGTGTTGACGTATAGTGAGAATAGAATTTATTGACTTCGTGCTCACAGCAAAAGTGACTAGTAATCGAAGACATTCAACATAACTTGAATGAGCTTTGATAACTGAATAGCTGAGAAGTCGTTTGCACAAACGATCGCATTTTCCAGAATGTTCGGATGCCCATTTCAACCGAGCTAGGATCGCGTACTGCACAGACTCTCTCTGTTGGCTCTCTCTCAATCCCTAAGGAGATTTCTAAAAGCGCATTGAAGAAAATAATGAAATGTTAATGTTGGTTTTGTTTTAATATATTTTATCACTGATTTGAGTAAATATATTTTATATTCTGAGTTGTTTGTTCTCATTCTCGGAAACTGCAAGCTTCGCATAAAATTGTTCTCCATATCATTTCGTTCAAAGCAAATATCTAATGTTTAGCCTGAGGATATAATTTTAAAATTTAACTTCATTTAAACTTGTCATTTTAGTGACCCTTAAATTGAAAGAAAACTTCAAAATCTCGATAGTGAGACTTAACAGGTTCATTGAATTAATTGAACTGGGTGGATAATGCAACATTGAGCTTTCAACTTGGTGATCATGCTTATCACAATTTTGATCAAGGCCAAAGGTCACTCCGTTACGAGAATACCATAAACACTCCTGTTTTATCTTTTATCAATCTGTGGCCTTTAACTCACACCAAAGCTAATGTCCGCAAACACCTAATTTTTGTGATAATTTCACACACTTTTAACTCAGACTTTGCGGAGATCAGAACTGCCTTTTAATGTGATAGTAGGCTCGGTTACTCATGATCCTCTAGGCAAATGGAGCGGTTGATATCGATTTAAAACAATGATTCGGACAAATTCATACAACCGAACCAAGTTCAAGCTCTCAATGCTAGCGTTCTTATAGTTGTGGCAGAACCCAGGAAATATTCTAAAGTCAAGAATTGAATTTTTGCCCTTAATAAATGAAATTTTAGGTAGTACTTAAACAGAATATAATGGAAGGAATCCTTTGTAAATGGAAATTTTCTGTTTATTAATCACAAAGACAATAGATGAGATATCAGTTAATTATATATTATAGTAATTTGGTAAATAAGGTGACTTCCCGGTCGTGTCGGCAAGAGGACAACTGAATTCCATTAAATGCTACTATTCAACCTCCCCCCACCCGGCGCTCTTGGTTTCATCTTTTAATTAATTAATTTGCTATTTCTAACAATTCATGAATAAAACGTGCTATCTATTTTTCCTTATACCATGGATGGGGGGCAATAAATATTTATTAGCCCTTCAATTTCTGCTTAAATGGGGTACAAAACCTGGAAGAGGTCATGACCTTTGTGTAGGTACTGAGGTCACCAAATGTTCTAAGTTAAAAGCGAAGCATTATTTTTTTTGGAGATATGTGCCTACAGTTAGCGAGCCATTTGCTCGTAATTTCAAGCTCTCCAAAGCAGATATTGCATGCTCAATTTGATACAATTTTAAATTGCGATTTAGGCAATAGGTGGTAAACTTAAAACCTAAAATAAACCCCATTATTCATTTTATTTCATTTTATCTGCACAAAATCACATATTTATTTTCATGAGGTCAAACACTTCCACCAAGTAGGTCTACTCATCTGATCTTATTTTGAGCCGTGGTAGTAATGAGAGATACGTTTGCTCGTTCTGTGAACTTCACTGACTTAAATTGACCTTTGGTGCCATTAACCTCACATAACCGGTTCTTATATTCTCTCTTCTTCCAGAGATCTTCTTTTATTGCTAAGTTAATATTTTCATTCTATGTGAGATCTGTAGCAACGTTTATACTAAGATAATTAATTCGAAGTGGTCATAGAGCTTATCCGAATTATTTAGTAACAATAGGCACCCACGACCACGACCACTACCTATTGTCTTTTGGCCTTTCTTATGAATACAGTTATCCCTTGCTGATGGGTTTACTTCCGATTCTTCAGTACCAACGCGTTCGGAGGCTTACAATACCTTTCGAATCTCTGATATAAATTAAGTCGCCGGAAATTCCTAAGAAGTTGATGACTGACTAATTGGATAGTTAAATTTAATTCGGCCAAGGCCCACATTTGAGTATACTTTGGATTATGCAATATATATATAATTTTAAATAGATTGCAAAAAGATAGTAAAATGAAAAATACAAACTTATATGGATTGTTGGTCACAGTCGTTTATGACTCCTCGTGTTTATTAAATCACTCTCAATTAGACTGTGATACAAGGTCGAAAGAATATCGGTTTCATAAGCGAATTATTGCATCTGTCTACGATTTCATATTACACAAAGTAGATTTATTTAGCTTATTCACTAAAAAAAGTACTCATCTCAAACCAGTTCTCTTATTGATAGCTCCAATACATCACAAACCCACTTTAATCTCCAAACCTCGAAACACTTGACGATAGTGTATGGGTAGTTTTCCTTGAAACCACTCCGACAAGAATCTCGCATGCTGCTATATGAAATTATACCTTCTAACATGACTGTAGATCGCATATGACTCTTCATTGACCATACATAAATGAATTTGGGCAAACAATTTGTTCTATAAATACGACCTATACCCTTAGGCTTGTGACATTCTCTGAATTGTTTACAAACCTATTAATTTTTTTTTTGTTAATAGACGCAATATCCAAGGTTAGCTAGTCTTATCTAAATTTGATGAAAAATATGCTAGACTAAATTTTATTAATTTCATTTTATTAAAAAGACAAATCGATTTGTTCAAAACCAACCCTTTACCTATGTGTTTGTATTTACAAATTAAAATTATTAAAGAAAGCTAAAAAAATTAGTGAGGATTTTTGATGCCTAAACTCTTGGATACATCACAAGCGTGGGAGCAAAAAATAGCAATTATTTAGGTCGCTGTGAAACAACGAAATTGATGAATTTTACTTTCTTGAGCCTCGGAAGTAATCGTCTCATGGATGATTTGCTTCCTTTTAAGCGCTGGCAAGAATATTAGATCTAGAACCTCATCATGGGATGGTGTGTTATTTACTTTGTGACTGGGGGGGGGGGAATATATTCCTTCAATACGCAACATCCAGGGCACGAGTCCTTAACCTGCAGTATGACCAATGAAAATATTTATTTATTTATATCAAATAGCAGGCATTTTGATAGTTATCATTAGCTCTTTAGTTGACTTCAGGCTTCACAGTGGGGAAGGAACATCAAAGTGAAAAAAGTCGGGAGGGTGGGGGGACAGAAGAGTGTTTCAAAGATGTAAGAGACAGACACAAAGGTAGAAAATAGGTGAGGTGAGTACTGTAGAAGTGGGGGAATATGACATACAGTGGGGTGATGGTAGTTTAAAGTGAAAAATCAACTGCCGGTCAATAGACTTTTTTGCCGTATGAGTATACGTTGCCTAGAGTGTTCCACGTGGAGGTATGTCTATCACAAACCCCAAACCAATGAAAATATAAGCGCCATTCTATTGATTCACAGTACTTATGCTACTAAATTGTATTGTACTCGAATAAATAACCTCTCTTGTGCATTTACCGACTGAAATTGAGATAATTTATAACCAGGTCTGCCAACAATTGATTCAGCGAATAAATGCCTTTGTATGAAGGAATTTACTGATTCCCATTATGAAAAAAACGGTTCATAGCACTGGAATCGGCTTCGCGGAATCGCCTATTTTTCTAGAAGCTGCAATGTCAAGTACGCGAGATATCTTTTAAAACAGCAGTTTTTTTAGAAAAGTTATCACACCTGCTATTTAACAATCTTTGTTCTCTTCAATTCACTGAGCCTATACCGCAAATTTGGTCCTTGTACTCAAAACAAGCTCTGTTCCTCACAGCCTTGTCTGTGTGGTTCAGCACGCAGTGTACGCCTGCTCCACAACTCTTAGTAAAAATCTCCGACTACTTTTATCTTCTCATAAAATTTTGAAAATCTTTCAAATCGGAGGTGAGCATATCTTAAATTGAACTCAAATTTAAACATTTTAACCTTTCATT